AACAGCTCCTTAGAGATCAATGTCTTATTGGTATTTGCTCGATTGCAGGCAATAACGTTAGTAAATTAGGTGAATGTACGTAAATCGAGGTACACGAGTCTAGCCAGGTATAGGTAGAAAAGGGGTATAGTAGGTCTCATGGAAAGGGAGATAGTGGGACGAATAGTTCATCGTGCAAGTGTTACGAATAGATAGGAGTCTCGACTCCGTCCTTCGAAAAGAAGATGGTTCGCGCTAAGGGTGACTAAAGGCAGAGAATTCTGTACGCCAAGAAGAAAAGAAAGTTTGTAGGGGTGAGAATGAACTTTCAAACCCTTTTCTTGCCCCTATCCTTTTTGCTTTCGATAACTTCTATCGCTTCCTAATCATATGAGTCTAGTGCAACATACTACTACTAATATGGAGTCATATTCTTCTTAAGCCTCCTTTCCCAGATCCAAGTTCCGAATCCCAGGGAGAGATCAAGACAATGCAGCAGGGTTGGCAAGCATACCTGTATCACTGAGCAAATCCAAAGCATACTTTCCCTCTAAAGAGTGAAGAAAAAGACTTGGTACAGCTAGAATACCGAGTGGATGTGGAATCCTACTTGAATTCAAGTCAGAAAAGGAAACTCGAATCCGGAACTTGCTTACTTCGGCTTGATCAGATACTGGAATCCAATCGGGGAACTTGGTTATTGACCCACTAATCTTTCCCTCTTTCGAGTCCAAGTCTCAAGAGGGCGCTTAGGCCGGGCCCTTCTCCAGAGTTCCGATACCGATATCACTATTTCAATTAGTTGATTGATTTCCCTTAGAATTTCATTCCTCCTCAAGTCCCAGTTTCGGTCAAGTAGTGGCAAGTATCATCTGTATCTGGCAGATAAGCTTTCACATGCATGAATTGAACTACCGAGATCTTTTCTTACTTGGAAACTAGAGCCTCCCCTTCGGGATTCGAGATTGAAGAAGAGGAAAACTGCTTCTAAAGGGAACTGATCCGAAGCAACAAGTCCTAGACCTAGAATGCAGGTACCCTAGTCTTGAAATATGCCATGAAGAATGAAATCTCTTGTTTTCATTCATATCATCAAAACAGTGATTCTTTCACGGCCACCCCTCAATTCAAGAGTTCCGATTGGATCAACAAGAATCCAATCTGTATGCCAAGAAGAAAAGAAAGGGATTTCATCAAGTGCAGACAAGAAAGATACCGAAATCAGGAACCATGGAAAGCAGATACCTGATCCTATATATATATATATATATAAAAGGGATATAAGTGCTAGATCTGAACTATTTCAATTAGTGAATTGGCGGAAAAGCAGGAATGAAGGTTGGGACAGAAAGGGGAGAGGAGAGCCCGGACGAGGAAAACAAGCACCCCTTTTAGGATTCTAGGAAACAAGCAATACTTTCCCATCTTGAACTGAACTGAACAGAGCACAGAGACTAGAATCAGAACTGGAATTCCCTTCTCTGAATTCAAAAGCCCACCCGGACTTGAGAAGTAGCTTGTTCAATTTGTCCTCAGCAGAAGCGAAACCTGTTGCCAAGAGATCAAAATTCCAATCAGAAAATAAGTACTTTGAATCAAGAAATGACATTGCATAGAAGTGAAGTGAACTAGAGAATTCCAGTCAGAAAAGCAATCGGATACTGAAATCTCTTCTCTGAAAGCTAAAGCTTTACAAATTATAGGAAAGCAAGCACCACGAAGGGCAGTACCCAAACTATAGGTTATCTTGTGTCTGGGCAAGCAAGGTCAAGTAGTGGCATCCTATTACCCTAAATGGAAAGCAAAGTAGGTTATTCAGCCATCCCTCACGAACAATCAGAAGTCCCAGTTTCCTTAACTAATCTCGCCAATTTATCACTTGACCGACCCAGAGACTAATCTATCGTTGGCCCAGGCAAAGAGTGAGAAAAAGCAGCAAAAGGAGTAGCTTGCAGTGAGGAATGAAAGCTGGTGTTTTACCACCATTCAGCAAGAGAAACCCACTGGAACCTTTTCATAGGACCATAGAAAACATGCTGCTTCCTGTATAGAGATGACTGCTTCTTTAATGAAGTTGATCGTCTATCTCAAGTGGTGGTGATCGACTCCACGAATAGCCTGAACCTGAGAAATGTATATCTGCAAACGGGAACTTCCTGTTGTCTCGAATCAGGTCTGCTATTTCTATTCATAACTCTCTGGCTGGAATCGACCAAAATAGCCCTTGACGGCAATAAGAGGATCCTAACCACTACACGGTTCGAAATCTCAATCGAATGATACCTCAATTGAACCTGCTGAGTCAGTTATTTGAAAGATATCACTATCAGCCTCACAGCAATCTTTAGGAAAATGCAGACACAGTAGTTTTTTCGAAACTTGTTCAGACACCGCAAGCAACTACCAGTATCGATCTTCTAAAGAAATGACCTTCATTACCGAAGTGATAGACAAACAATTCTATAGCGGACTTGGACTAGCGACACATTTCTCCATATATGAAATTCAATTCACCCGACATCAAAGAGAAGCTCAAGCTCGGGATCAAAGATCAGCTACAGATCGGGCTGGCATTCATCATAGTCGGCAGCTTACTTTTGACTGAAACATTTACTTTGCACTACATCCGTAAGAATCTGATGGAAAATGACTGCAACGCAATCAATTTATCCCTTCCTCGTGCGCGCGTATCGTATATAGTTCAATGAGAAACAATGCTTTCTGATATTCACGAATTGGATTCGAACCAATGTCCCCCGACTCCTCTACCGAATAAGGATCGTGATTCACATTTCCTCGTTCTCTTTCTAGCTGCCCATATGGGTGGCTGCTATCATCCCCTTTTGAAAGCTTCTTATCCGCATCCGCGAGCATAAGCGGAATAGCCTGAACACTCATAGCGATTACCTCAACCCTTGTCTTTCCTTTGGCTCCGCTCGGTGGGGGGGACCCAATGTACCAATTCTTTCACTCGACCCTGCTCCTTCTTCTTTCTCATTTGCCTTTATCTTCTGGCCACTAGTTGTCCACCGACCGCTTGCTGACATTAAGTACACATGAGTCAAAGCAGGATCAACATTCCATATCGTTAGCATGCTGGAAGCCAGAATACAGATTGATGCTGAATGGAAACTACCGTATTTAGCCATGCACTACTCCTCCGTTCCATAATTTGAACTAAAACCACGACAAGAATTATGGAACGGAGGGAGTAGCTAGTAATAGTTCATGATTTGGAAAATTACTGTATTTGGCCAAGTACCGGTCAATAACTAGTCCATGATTTTGTTGTCCGTCACAATTGTGATTGCTATGCGACCTTATTAGGCAAGTGTGCTTCCTGAAGTATCTAGTTTGATATAATAACCTGTAAATCGATGTCTTTATATTAAATAGCTGCTTACAGCCAGGTATTTGAACATTGGGGGGCATTACCTTTTCCTACATCCCACTGCTTTACCGATATCTGTAATATACCTTTATTGGGAGTACTAAGTAATACCTCTACGACAGTCGAACAGTTGGGCTTGCATGGCAAAACAATCTCCTGATGTATGTTTGGCATCTGCAAATCATTGTGTAGGTACTGGTGAAAGACATATGGGTGTTTGAAAGATCCCTTTTCCACCCTGGAGCATACTGGCGTGTGTGTGGACGAATCACATTGTGATAATCTCTTGGTTCCTTCCTGAATGAGCTGAAGGATGGCTTTTGTTATGCACAGCAGTTTGAATAAATATTTTGCCCTGCCGCCCTTTTTTGCCTGTCTAACTGATTGTCTAACGAAGATCTACAGACATGCTTATGTAGACAGGTTTTTCTTTTGTTCCTCGGGGAATTGTCAGCTGAAGATACAAGTCTTATCCCACATTAGTTAGCGAAGCAACTTGGGCATACTGCATTTGGTGGTTTTATTTACTGTTACCAGATTTGTCTCCATTGTGGTAATTTTGATAGAACATTGCCAATAACTTCAGAGAACATACAGTATTGGTAATTTTTGCTAGTAAATGTATTTTCTACTCCCTCCGTTCCTAAATACAAGTCATTTTAGAGATTCTAATATGGACTACATACGAAGCAAAATGAGTGAATCTACACTATAAAATATGTCTATATTTATCCGTATGTAGTCCATATTCAAACCTCTAAAGACTTGTATTTAGGAACGGAGGGAGTACATAACAATGCAGGGACATGCATGGGGGACTATGATACAAAAACCTTATAGGTACAAATGAAATTTGATAAAAAAAAACTATGTACTATTGGTGAACTTCTTTTATCTTGAAGTATCAATCACAGTACAACAAAACAAAAATGGTAGCTGCGCTTTCATGTACATGATGACTAATATACATGAGTTATGGTAATTTTGCTATATACAGGCCTGGTAACTTGCGTACAACAATGGTAATTGTGTATAGAACAAGATATTTGTAAATTATGCCTGGTAATTTGCCTCCCTGGTCATCCCTGATAAAATCCCTGGTGAAATCCAACGCAACTGCCGTGGTAAATCCAAAAACAACTCTCCTGAAAAATTAAAGCTGCATGCCTAGTACTACTCCCTTTGTAAAGTTTACAGAGGGAGTACCTGCGATACAGAGGGAGTACAGGTTTACATCCCCCAAAATTAGCCAAGAAACTTCATCACTCGCTCAAACCCCTCCAAAGAAATCACATGAACACGTTGTCGAAAAAGCGCTGGATGTGTAACACCCCCCTCCCCCCCTCCAACCCCACGCACACCAAGAAAACACAATATTCCATTTCCAAATTGCCCCACGCGAACAACTACTACAACCGCTCCATTGAAAATCGACCGTGTCGAGCGAATCCCAGTGCCTACCAGGACCCCAAGACCTCTCTCCTCCACAAAATCATGTGCGTCGATGAGGAGAACGGCAAACGACGCTGAGAAATAGAAACAGAGGATACTCAAAATCATGTGCGCCGATGAGGAGAACGGCAAACGACGCTGAGAAATAGAAACAGAGGATACACGAGGAGTATGCAAAATGGGCGCTCAGCTTCGATTTGTCGCCCTTGCCGCGAAACCTTCGAGCACCGCCAGCAACCGCCTGCCAATTCCATCGCCGCAGAGGGGGATGGATATGAGGGATGAGTGCGCACACTTTATAAAGCTCAAATAGCGCCCCCCTGGATATCAATTGAAGTCAATGCAATGGTTGCAAATAGCGTACGCACGATTGGTCAATTTCCTTCTTTACTCAGCACTCTAAGGCCAGCGAGCACTCGCTTGCTCGCTAGTCCTGTCCTTAAATCAAAGAGGCCTTTTACAGTGAACCAAAGAGGCCTTTATTCAAGTATCAAAGAGGCCTGGCAAGCAAACAATTCGTTTGCATGATTGCATCCCAGCCGTTGATTTCACAATGGAGGGACAAAATCAGTTGATCATATCTAGTGACTAGTGGCTTATCGTTCTGTCAGTTAATTCCCTCTCCCCTTCCTAAACCCTCGCCGCCCACTTCCGTCCCGCTCCTCGCACCTCCCCAATCCCCGTCGCCGGCGCCGGCGCGGAGAAGAAACCCCGCCGATGTCTCTGGCCCGCCTCGGCCAGTCGCTGGCCCGCCGCCTCCACCGGCCTCTCCACCTGCCTCCACCACCGCCGCCGTAACCCCCTCGTGTCCTCCTCCTCCATTTCCCGTTCGGTCTAGATCTCGCTCTCCACAGTGTGAATCCGATAATTCTTACCCTTCTCCTTCCCGCTTCCGTTGCAGAGATCACCATGCCACCGTTTCCCGGCCTTTCGCTCCGATCCACGCGAACACATGCGTAAGAAGGTGAGCTACTGATATGGTTTCCCCCTTTCAGTTCCCCTCCGAGCTTCATTTCAGTTATTTTTTTGGTGGGTGCCTTTAATCTTTAGGCTTTGCAAGCTTAACATACAATGGCGGCGGCGTGATTTCTGGCAAGTTTGGAGGGCCGTCGCATGTCCACGCCGCGCAGGTTCGAGTACTCAAGTTCGCTTTTTTGGTGAATCTGCAACGTTTTTGCCTACAATGTCCGATATTCGATTCGGTTTACAAATTCACGTTGGTTGCATTTCTGCAGGTTCTAGAGCTTGTAGTCCACCTAAATCATGCAAGACCAATGTCGTCAGGAGCAGGAGCAGGAGCAGCCCCAAAACCACCATCCCTGTCCGAAGGCGTTTCTTTTGGTGGTTGCAAGGTGTGAGGATATTAATTTGCCATTTTGATTCTTCTTAAGTTGGAGGAGTATTCTGTTAACTGCAGTGGCTCTGTGTATATGTATGTGCAGGTTGCTTTGAAAGTTGACATGCCGAGCCCTGGTTTTGTTTTTCAGCCATACCGTGCCCCGGAACCTATCCCACTTTGGAAAAGATTGAATTCCAGTGCAGATGTTCACTCTCTATAATTAATTTGCCTTAGATCATTATGTATATGGTATTCAATGCCCTCTCTGGTTGCTGTGGGGAGATTTTTCTTCGCAAAACCGATCCATCTGTTAGTTGTCCAGAACTGGCCATTTAAAATCGATGCCTAAGGTTCAAACTCACAGTTCCTTTATTGAATGCCCCATAACAAACTTCCCCAGTGCATGATGAAATCTTTATCATCATCATAAGTTCATAACTATTATTTTGTGACTTAGATTGTTTACACCAAGTGGCTGGAGTAGAACAAAAGAGGATGTTATTCTGCAGGTACTGGCTTTCTTGACTGGGAAAACTGCTGCAACGAGAAATGAAGTTCCATTTTTTTTCCTTGTTTCAATATTTCAACCTTTGTTATCTGGAGACAAATTTGAGTACTGTTACCCTTCATGTTTAGAAATCTAAGAGGTTACTTTCCATTGCTGGGAGCACATTGGTTGTTTGACTGCATTGGCACCAATGCACCAACATTGAGAGAACCAAGTCACAATAGTTCTTATTTTCATGTGAATAGAAGACACATGAGGTATTTATCATACTTTTAGAGTTGATTTTGATATACCCTTTGATATAGGTGCATGTTACTGTGTTCTTTTCTATTTTAAATTTCCATATTACAATAATGGTGCAATACCACATAGGAGGAAACCGTTTGGGCCTTTTACTGATGGATATATTGCTTACTTTTCATCCTCATCAATAATCTCTTTCTTGTATTTGCTTGCTCCCTGTGTTGATCATAAGATATTTGACTTAATTAATGCTGTTTTTCTTTTGTGCTACCGTCTGTCATGAATCATTTGCTGAGTTGTTGGGTTTTTTACTTGACAGTTCATGAATGCATTTACTGTGTCAAGGTTGAGGAAGAAAATCGGATATAACAAAAAACAGTTCCAGGAGCAAGCGTTTAAATATACAAGGAGGTAAGACACATTCATTACATGGAATTAAGTTGTATTCCCTCTGTAAACTAATATAAGATTTTTTAGATCACTCTTTAGTGATCTAAAACGTCTTATATTGGCATGGGTTTAAGGTTTTCATGGTTGGTGATCTAATAAGGGAAGATGAGATCATGAGAGTTGTTACTTGCAAAATATTAGTATGAAATCCAAACAAGTAAAATCACACTGCAGAATCCTTACCAGAGAAAATCACTGCTAAGGGGACAACCAAGTATTACTGCATTTGAATGCTCTGTATAAACATCTGTCTGCGTTCCCATTTCTCCTACATAGATCCATATCAATATATGCTAGATTTGTTACAAACTGTTGTGTTCGCGAACCAAATTTCGAAATTACTGATCTGTGGGCTTTATGGTTATGGGTCTTTGTTTCTAGTGCTAGTTGCCAAACACTTCAAGACATTGTATTATATATATATATATATATATATATATATATATATATATATATCTTTACTATTATATATGGTAGTTAGTGGTGAGTGCCTGGTGGTGTCATACCGCCCCTTTTCTCACATCCCCCATCCACAAAACCACAGTCCCTCTCCTTCCAAATATTTGGCACTAACATGTAGGCCCAATGTTCTCACGCTAAACAACCTCATGACATTCTCATAGTTCTTTCCTTTATTTCCTTAACAAACTGAACAACCTCTGTAACTTCAACAAACCCAAGAAATCATTTGTAGAAGTGTAAGCATTCAAACAGACAACTATTATTCAAAATGAAACAGGTTTGTTTTTAGCATGAATATATTGGTGAAATCTGTAGCAACGCATGGGGCAATTAGCTAGTTATAATAACAACCTTGGTTCTGATTATGTTTTTTACGAGAGAGTTGGGTTAGCACCGATTGAAGAGAAGCTTGTCCAACATCGTCAGAGATGGTTTGGGCATATTCAGCGCAGGCCTCCAGAAGCTCCAGTGCATAGCGGACGGCTAAAGCGTTCTGATAATGTCAAGAGAGGTCAAGGTAGACCGAATTTGACATGGGAGGATTCCATAAAGAGAGATCTGAAGGATTGGAGTATCACCAAAGAACTAGCCATGGACAGGGGTGTGTGGAAGCTTGCTATCCATGTGCCAGAACCATGAGTTGATCGCGAGATCTTATGGGTTTTACCTCTAGCCTACCCCAATTTGTTTGGGACTAAAGCCTTTTTTTGTTGTTGTTGGTTCTGATTATATTTTTGTGGTTGAGTTGCATGATTTGTCAGTGGTTTCAACTATGTGCCATAGAGCGATTGCATGCCCACCCAGTTAATTCTGAGTTTGTCATGGACTTCCTTTCAATGACATGATTTACTGAGATAGACATTTTCCTCCTTTTATTGCTATCTTACAATTGTTCTTTAATCAGTCAAGTTCGATTATTTCCTCTGAGTTTCGAATGAAAATGGTGTCCAGTCTTCTATATTATTTTCAAAGCGGTAATGCAAATTGAAGTGCTTACTGATATTACCAGGTATGATGGAATTTGTATGACATGAATTATTTCATGGAATAACTCTCTCTACATTGTTCACTTTCCTTGGATTCAGGTTAACAAGCTTATTGCACGAGGAGACATACCATCTCTCCAGAAAGCTCTGACAGATGCTATGCATTCTGTAAGCTTTCACCTACTGAATTGATGTCAGACAATGTCTTTTGTGGGGCTTGCCGTTTATTCTTTCCTCTCCTTTTTTCTGCAGACTGTCAAAAATGAAATAAGGAAAAGACAATCCAAGTGGAAATCTGTACACTGGGAACTGGTGGAGCCTGCTGTAAGCATAAGAACTTTGAAGGCTCGTATGGTAAGCTATCTGTTGTTTTTCTATTATGTTAACTCTAAAAATCATCTTTTGTAAACATTTACATTTGTATACTGCATTGTCACGATTGAGCCAAGTCAGTTGGTAATTGGTCAAGTCTTGTTTATTTTGCAGATTGCTCTTGATAAGAATGACCTTAACAAAGCTTATGTACAGCTTACGCTTGAGTTCATCACTAAGCAGCTTTCATTCTGTAAAGCTCGAAGATTTTTTTTTTTTTGTGATGCAGTACAGCTCAACTATATTTTGTCTCTTCTCTACTTTTAAATTGCTGGCTTGATGTTGAACAAGTCCACCTTTTTGGCTTTCTGTCCATACCTATTATTTTTTCCAAAGGTTATAGGTCAATCTTGTATGCCCATCATGTATTTAAGTTCTAGTCTCTGTTTTCCCAATGAACATATTTCACCTCTTTCGTTTGAGAACACGCATGACAGACGTATATGTTTTTTGATACTTATGTCTTCTTTCTGTAAAACTCCATAACTTGCTGTGATGTTCAGATTGTTGTTCTTGATACCAAGACCTAGTTTTCTAGTCTAGCTACCATGTTGTTATCAAGTAGTTTGTTTCATGTTGAACTATAGTATGTAGCATTGAACTGCCACTTCACCCTGTTCGCATGTAGTGTTTTGTATTTGTAACTTTGTATATAAGTCCGCTTGACTGCCTACACAGTTTAGAGGGTATGTCCCCAAGACCTTTGAAGAAAATGCTATGTGTTCTTTTCTCTTTTTTCTACAACACTGATGTCTACGTCATTCGAAGAAGGCAGATATTTTGATATGACTTAATATCAACGATCTGTAATATTTAAGCATCAAAAGCCATGCAGTGTAAAATGTCTACTAACGTAAGGTTCAGTGATAATAGTAAGTTTACTTTGTTAATCATTGTATTATTAGGGTATCCATATGTTTCTTTTGTTTGATCACACTGCATTATTAGGCTGTGTCTGTTTCTCGTTTTTTTGTCTTTTGTGCTACTAGTAGATGGCTTGTTTGTTACCATGGGTATGCAGTATATATTATTCTGTCCTTGTATGTGTACCCCTTGACTATTGCAATTATATTTCCTGTAGAAATTTGAAGCCTATAATTCAAAAAGAGAGGTTGTGTCAGGAGACAAGTCAAAGGAGGTAAATTAAACATGTCAGATTATTTCAAGTACTTTCTTTTCGAAATGTTAGTAGTTCCTCGTGCAATTTTGTCCACAGTATGTCCTCTGCACATGCCTTTACATTGCTTTAGTGGTACATCTACCATTACCTAAATATCAAGTAACATTTCTGTGATCAAGACCAATAGATAAAATATCAGGAAGACTGTACACTTCTATCACCTGGCCACAGGTCACCCACTGACTGCTTGCTGGCATTAAGTACACATGAAGTCAAGGTTGGATCAAAATTCCATATGGTTGCGTGCTGCCGGCCAGAATATAGATAGACGCTGAACAAAAAATACCATATTTGACCAAATACTAGCTAGTAACTAGTTCATGATTTTGAAAACTACTGTATTTAGCCAAGTATCAGTTAATGACTAGTTTATGATTTAATTGTCTGCCCAATTGTTATTACCATGCGAGCTTTACTAGATTGACTAAAACTGATCGAAATCCACCTTATTAGGCAAGTATGTTTCACTTCCTGAACCCAATGTATCTAATTTGATAGCTGCTTAAGGCCAGGTAACTGAACATTTGGGGCACATCACTTTACCGACATTCCGCTGCTTTCTGTTTCTGTAAATTCCATGAAAATAAAGTAGAGAAAATATATTACTTGGTTGCACCCGTCCTTCCCATTGCATGATGTATCGCGCGGAAGTTATATTAGAATCCTGTCGAAACTTGGGTCAATTTTTTTTCTTGTCTGTTTGTTATATCAAGCAGTGGTGTGTTTATTACCTTTACGACGATCGAATGATCAGGCTTACATGGCTAAGCATTCTCCTGATGTACGTTTGGCATCTGTGAATCATTGTGTCAGGTGCTGGTGAAAGACATATGGGTGTTTGAAAGATCCCTTTTCCACCCTGGAGCATACTGGCGTGTGTGTGCGCGAATCACGCTGTGATAATCTCCTGGCAAGTACATTCCATCCCACATGAGTTGAGTGATGGATTTTATTATGCACAGTAGTTTCAATAAATAACAAGATCTCTAGACACAGACAGTAATGGTAGGTTATCTCTTGTTCCTTGGGGAATTGTCAGCTGAGCTGAAGATAAAGGTTGGGTAAGTAAGTAACCTGGGCTTGTTGCCTTGGGAGGGTTTCTTTACTGTTGCCAGATTTATTTCGATTGCGGTAACAAGCTTCTTGTAATTTTGTAGCTCAGTCCGCCTGGTGTGCTGTTACGCTCTTTGACTGCTGATCTAGTTTCTTTTCCGCTCCCGTAAGGCAGTAAGCCGCGCCAAATTCCATATAATCATCCTGTGGAACTCGGCGCTTGATTTTTCCGAGACGTCGTTTTGTGGGGAACCAGTTGAGCATTTTGCCATGGAATGTTTGCCATCCTTCGTCTAGTGCATTCATTTCTGTCATGCCGTGCTGGAACCTGGAAGTTTGCCTTGGGTGCTCATAGGTGCCCTGTATGTATTCCGCAGTATCATCTACACTCTAGAATCCCTGATGGGCGTCATGATACCGTTGCACCATCTGCCATTTCTGGAAAGCAGAATATGATGTGGATAGAGTAGCCATCACGGGGAACTCCGGAATTTCAAAATATTTGCTCGATATTATGTACAGTTCCCCGGGAAATTCAGTTCATTCCTCTGTCGTGCGCCAACCGCTGGGGTGCGCGCGACGACACTTGGCAACAGCAAGCAGCTGGCTGGCTGAGCCGCCTCGAAGCAGCCTGATGCTTGATGTTATTCTACTGCTCCCATGTTTATCTTCCAACCGAAACGGCCATAATCTAAAGCCGTAAGTTGTCAACCTATGCATACGCTCAGCGATGATGCTTGAGAAGCTGACTTTGGGTGGCGGCTGCTAGATGAGTTGGTTAGTTAAGCGAGCGAGGTCCCAATCAAGAGATGGATGCATGGCATCACCGTATCTCCCCTCTCGTGCAGTGTCAACGGGGGAGGGGTGGCGGCATGGAAACCGAATGTCGTCGCCGCGGTAACCAGCTGTCAGCCCAACGCCGCGGCACGCGATGACAGCAGTTTGCAGTACTACTTGATATCTTTGCTAAACTAACTCAACTTGATTGGGACTGCGGTGTATGCAGTACTACTAGTACTTGATAACACCAAGTGTCAAAAGAAAATGTTTATCGACGCAGCCGCCCCCCGGGATATGACGACGTGATAGTTAAAGACTGGCGGGAACGGATCGAGCCGGGCTGTTGCTCTTGCCTGGATCGCCAGCGGGAGGTGAAACTTGGTCTGTGTTTTGATGCTGGGGAAAATGCTTTGCATGTTCTTATAATTACGGAAGAAATTACCCTCTTTGTCCTAAAATAAGTGTCGCGACTTTTGTTCAAATATTTCGCATGTTTAAAAAAAATAGTAGCTCGTGCAGGATATATTAGCGCTTTTCCGATTGATTTAGTCCCTACGTAAATCATGAACAAGGCAACAAGAGTATGAATTTCATATTGAAATCTAAACATGTGGGCCCGGACAGAACATAGGACCAGGGCATCTATGAACACAACATACCAGGCTAGCACATGAATGAGTAAGTAGGGGATGAAAGAATCATATCCTCCCGTCGGCCAGGCTTCGTCTGCGATGACAACAGCGGCTTCGTCCACGGCCTTCTTCTTGGTGGCGTCATCTTCGATCATGTCATCGGGGAAGTATTTGAAACAGTGGATGAAGATGAGGACGAACTGAGAGCGGTTGGGCCGAGACGCTCCTCAAAAACCTTATCACCCTTCTCCAGGTGCAGGATCACAAATGACGGAGTTCCGAAAGCCTGCTGTCCTGACTGGCCGTGCACGTGGTCGATGGGATGGAGCTCCAGAAGTGGCACAAAGAGATTAGTCCGAGATTAGCCAAGGGTTTCTGCCCGGCAAACATATAGCGCAGGCATGGCATAGCTCCGAGCTCAGCTTTCCTCATTCACGAAACACGAGACGCACGCGCGAGGGGTTGAGGCGTGGCGTGGCAGACGGTGGAGTGCACGAGTACCAAGCTCTCATTGGAAGAGGAAGAGCAACTCTTAGAACATCTCTAGCAGACCCCTTAAAACTACAAACTGTAAAACTGAAATAAGGGTCGAAGAAAGACATTTTAAGGGTCCATTTTAGTTACGGCCGAACAGATATTGTAAAAACAAACTATAAAACCGGGATAAGAGCTCCTCCTTCCAGCCCAGCCGGTGCCGCCCCTTCCCCCGTCCGGCCACGCCGGTCGCGCCTAGCCCCGTCGGCCGTTGCCCGTCGCCCGTTTGTCGTGCCCCGTCAGCTGCCAGCGGTGCCTTGTCCCCGCCGGCCATGCCCCGTCGTCACGCGGGCCGCACGTCATCCTCGCTGGCTGCGCCCCGTCGTCACGCGGGCCGCGCCCAGCCCCGCCACTGTGCCCCGTCATCATGTCGGCCGCGTCCTGTCGCCTGCCGGCCATGCCCCCTCGCCCGCCGGCTGCGCCCTGCTCCGTTGTCGGCCGGGCCAGGAGGATTCCGGCGGCTAGGCTGAGCTCACAGGAGGCCATGGCGAGGTCGGGCTTGTCCAATTCGATCCGCTGGCGATTGATTCCGGCGTCCAATGGCCTTTCCATGTGTGCGGTGACGAATTCTGGCGAGTTTCGGGCGGATTCCGGCAAATTTCGCGGTGGCGTGTTTGCTCCGAAGAGGTTTGACCGGTATACGCCCCCCCCCTCCGTTTGGCCTTCCAACCTTCAAACACAAGGGTCTCGGGTGTGGATTTTTGGTGCCCTTTAAAAATTATACGGGTTGGACCACTTTTACGGTTTCTGTTTTGGACACTTTTTTTGACCAAGACCTTAAAACGCAAAAATTATAAGGGTTTGACCACTTTTAAGGGGTCTACTAGAGATATACACGCCGGCGACATGCATACAGAAGGGGCGAGAGACTGGATTTGGGACTATACGCGGGCGAGTGGGGGTTTTCAGTGAAGGAGATGAATAGAGACGGCGAAGTTGATGGGACTATACTGTGACATCCTGAATTTTAGCCCTTTCTTTTTCTTTTGGATTTCTTTAAATTTTTATTTGAAATTTCTTTTCTGTGGTTATGTGGCCTTTAAACTTTGGAAGAATATCTCTTCTTACTCTCACTAGTGGCTTGTCAATCTCAAATCCATCCCAGGATCATGTCATTTCCATCTTAGCCCAATTCCAATATTTATTTTTTGGGAACATTTCTTTTGCTATTAAAGGAATAATCTTTTTTGTCCCAGGTTGTGAAGCAACCTACATTTCTGCATTCCCAAAATTCCCACAAAATTCTCGCTCTTACAAAGGGGTCTCAACTCTTCTCAATTTGTGAGGTGATACTAAACTTTCCCATCATGCCATGCATCCTCATGGGACTTGGAGATTAACCAGGAATTATTGATTATACGATCCCAAAACCCATTTATAATCCAACAACTCGTACCTTCAAAGTGATTTGAACATGTGTTTTACAAAAAAGGAAGAAGCGATTCATAAAGAAAAACACCAGCTCGTTTCTTCAAAGTGATTCATGCTCACTTGTCTCCTGAAAAAAGAAAAGACAAAAGAAAATGGACACAAATATCCAATGAACATCAGATTTTTAGGCATGACAAATCAGATGTTTTTCATGACAAATTATGTCCGTCGTCCAGTTCATTTTTTTTGTGCCTGAAAATTGTCATGCTTGCAAACTAAATTTGCTATCATCGCACCAATATAAATTGCCATGAAAAATGTTCGATTTGGCAATGCCTAACAACCCCAACGCCGGGAGGTTTGTAGCATTTGCGAAAGAAAATTGCCTCTGGCTATTTGACTTGAAACCCCGTCGCCGCTGGCAGAGACGATGCACGCACGCACCCCTCGTCACCGAGACATCTGTGCCGCGTCTACGTGGTGGCGCGCAGTCTGCTACGCCAGACGTTTTGTATCTACGTGGAGTAGAAAATGGATGAAAGAAGAAGTCGCGCAGTCTGCTACGCCACTCTTTTCTTACTACATGTATGTATGTACGCATGCTAGTAGAATTTTTCCACAGAAGAGCGACGACTCGTGACCGTCGTGAGGTGTGTGAGAGCGACGCGCGCCCGCCCGCTCGCTCGCTCCCGGCGGAAACACGGTACTGATGGAGCCGTGTTTCGACGCGAGAAAGTATTGGCAGACGGCTATGGCACAGTAGAGTGGCAGCTGGAGTGCTGGACGGATCCATGGAAGATCGGGCGGCGCGTCACTTTGGCGGATAAACAAAACGGCACGAGAACCTGGCGTCAATAGGAAACCCCGATTCGTTCGTCATCTGATCTCTGATGGTAGTAGCAGACAGAGACGCAGCCCTCCCTGAAAGCAACCGCTCTACGTACGTCTGCACTCTGCAGCCAGGTGTCCCCCATCTGAACTAACGATCCCAAGACAAGGAAATCACGTAGCTGTATGCAAGATTGTGAAAGAAGAGGAACAATTGGAGGGAGACCAACACCTGGCTAGCAACCGATCCATACAGTACAGTATGCAAATGCAGCGCAAGGGAGCCCAACCGATCTAATTCTAAAAGCGTAGTGCTACTGGTATTTTTGTCCAGACAGGCGACAGGAGGCGAGCGTGAGGCACTCGACATGGAGAGAGACAGGATGCCGACCGGCGCGACCTGTATCCGTGCCTTTTGCGGT